CATTTTCCGCTGCAGTGCTGATGGAGAGTTCGCCGTCACCCACATGACCAAGGCCCAGCTCTTCCACACCGGCCGGGTTCGCTGGGTGCCTCCGGCCATCTACAAGTCGTCCTGCTCCATCGACGTCACCTTCTTCCCGTTTGACCAGCAGAGCTGCAAGATGAAGTTCGGCTCGTGGACGTACGACCGGGCCAAGATCGACCTGGAGCCCTTTGAGAACACCGTGGACCTGAAGGTGGGAACAGATCCTCCTGCTTCTCGCTTTTCTCTGGTCTCATCACAGCCGGTGTCTCTGCTCGGCTGAGATTTCTGCTGCTGCTCTTATCTGAGCTTCACATGTGCTCTGTTTCAGTTGTGCCAGCTCACGTTTTAATTAACTGTGTTTCCCGGCATCGTGTTGCACTGCGGCGTCAAGAGCTGCAGAAAACTAAATTCAAATGAGAGTTTTCAAGATCAGCAAAAGAGAGTAAAATTCTGCAGACGTGGAGGTTTTCTTAAACCACCTAAACCCCAAAACCTGCCAGTGGGTTTGAAAGGCATGTTGTCTTTTAAATGCAAAAATGACACCATGTAACAGAAGGAACTACAAGATTATCAACCGTCTGATGATCCTTCAACGACTCATCTATGACTTCAGGTTCCGTCTGAAAAATGATTCACTTTCATTCAATGTGTCTCATTTTAAAAACTGACAAAAAATAAAGAGTTTATTCGAACCAGATTCTATAAAAAACAAAAAATGTAACGCTTGTCACTGCAGCTGTGAAGGTATCAGTGACTCAGCTGCGACCAAGAGTTTCATGGCAAAAATTCTGGCAGTTTCTGGCTGACCTGCAGGCTGAACACACGGCAAGCAAGGCAATGTTCCTACAATGTTTCCCAAATGGTGAAGCGAAAAACGTCCATCTATTGTTATCACCTAACATTGTTTTGTAGAAGAAGTTTCTCAACAGCAACGTCCCCAAAACATCCTGAAGAATGTTACAGGTAAAGTGTTCTACCTTTGTTAAGGTGTCGAATTACAGGAATGTTTTATGAAATCATGTGACACCTCGAATACAAAGGTTGATTTGTTTTTTTATCATGTGACATAATCGAACAACATCGTCTAAACACTCTCTAAATGTTAAAGTGTTCTGTCTTAGTTCAGTTTTAACCCCACAGGAAATATCCCTGAAACACTCTACCTAGTATTAGAACTTGTTGGTAATGTTGTAGGAACACTTCCTGCTTGGAGGTTAAGTTGGCCATCTTTGAAGTAGCAATGGTGCATCAGCCGGGAACCATGAACGTCTGCAGCAAATTACAAAAGATCCTTAGTGTGGTGGTTGAAATGGTGAGTAAACAAAGTATACCTTCTAGGGTTAGTGGGGCAGTGGACGTTTGTCATCTCTGTGGGCACCTACAATACCAAGAACTTCACAGGAACATTATTTGAGATATCTCTTAAACATCCTGTCTAGTATTAGAACTTGCAGGTAACTTTAGCCAGTGTTGTGGGATTCATGTGGTAATCTTTAATGTCGCTATGGTACATCACCTGGGAACCATGAATGTCTGAAGGATCCATGAGTGTTAAGTGGTAACTAAACAAAGTATACCTTCTCGGACTACTGGGACAGCGGAGAGTTGGCGATCGTCAACACCGTGGGAACCTACAACATCAAGAACCTGATAGGAACATTAGTTGACATATCCTTAAAACATTCTGTCTCCTATTAGAGATTGTAGGTAACACTAGCCAATGTTGTAGGAACATTTCCTGCTTGGAGTAAAGCTGGCAATCTTTAAAGTAGTCGGGAACCATAAATGTCTGAAGGATCCATGAGTGTTAGGTGGTAACTGAACTAAGTAGACCTTCTAGGACTACTGGGAGATTGAAGAGTTGGCGATCGTCAACACTGTGGGAACCTACAACACCAAGACCCTGATAGAAACATTAGTTGACATATCCTTAAAACATTCTGTCTCCTATTAGAACCTGTAGGTAACACTAGCCAATGTTGTAGGAACATTTCATGCTTGGAGTAAAGTTGTCAATCTTTAAGTAGCCAGGAACCATAAATGTCTGAAGGCTCCATGAGTGTGGTGGTCAAACTGGTAACGTGTAGTATACCTTCTAGGACTACTGGGAGAGCGGAGAGTGGGCGATCGTCAACGCCGTGGGAACCTACAACACCAAGAAGTACGACTGCTGCCACGAGATCTACCCCGACATCACGTACTACTTCGTGATCCGCCGCCTGCCGCTGTTCTACACCATCAACCTGATCATCCCCTGCCTGCTCATCTCCTGCCTCACCGTCCTGGTCTTCTACCTGCCGTCCGACTGCGGCGAGAAGATCACGCTGTGCATCTCGGTGCTGCTGTCGCTCACCGTCTTCCTGCTGCTCATCACCGAGATCATCCCGTCCACCTCGCTGGTCATCCCGCTCATCGGCGAGTACCTGCTCTTCACCATGATCTTCGTCACGCTGTCCATCATCATCACCGTGTTCGTGCTGAACGTGCACCACCGCTCGCCGCAGACCCACTCCATGCCCAGGTGGGTGCGCCGGTGCTTCCTGTCGGCGGTGCCACGGTGGCTGTGCATGAAGCGACCACACCACGACCTGAGGCCTGGCAGGTGAGGAAACAACGAGGGGTTTGTACTGAGTTCTACCATCCCAGAATAATCACTCACTGTTTTCTGTGCAGGTTCGTCCTGTTGTGACGATGAACAAGCTGAAAAAACTCAAGTTAAATGGAATAAAGTAAACAGACAGAAAATAGATGTTTTAGGTTCAGATCGTACGATGTTATTAATTCTACAAATTTACGTGTCTCAATAAATATTAATGTTAAGACCCTACATTATTATATATTAATTTCATTACAAATTTGGTTCAGACTCAATATTACATTTTCTGTATAATACAAAATTACCAGATGAATTTAAATACTGAGGTTAGGACTTTAGAATATTACATGTTATACAAATGTGCAACTAATTTAAATATTAAGGTTATATAGATACAAACAGTTGGCCATATTTTACAGAGAAATATGTATATTAATGGTAAATTTATTTTTGGAAGTGTTGTTTTGCTTATTTTCCCTGTTTTGTTAAATTAAAGATAACTAGTAAAATCAAATTAAAAAGTTTGAATTAACAATTTAAAAAAAACAAAAACTGTAGATGTGGTCCACATCAGAAATTTAGATTTTTAGAAACAATAATTTGTTCTTTTACAACCATAAAGTTACACTGTTTTATTGTATTAAATCAGCTAAAAAGTCAGTATTTTACAGATATTTTCACCATTTTTACAGTTGAAGTGAATGCACAGTGAATGCTACAATATTTAACTACTTGTAATGTATTTTTCTGGTTGACTTTCATTTTTGTTTTTTTGATTTCCACATGATGCTTTGTTAGAAAAGTACGTTATATTATTTCTATTGATGTTTTATTTTAAAGGTCCATATCGATGAATGTTCTGCTTGTTTTTATTGTTCCTATAACTCACTTGATTTCTCAGGCGGAGGCCCCTGACTGATAAACTCCTCGCCGTCCGGACGCCGGGCCCCTGCCACTGCACCTCCACCTGGATCACTCAGGAGTCCGACATCGATCTCCATGGTTACCAGGAGGACTGCCACCAGCTCGCCTCCTTGGAGCCCGGAGGTGAGACCACCTGCTCTGACCTCCATCCACACACGGAGGACTTTTCGAGGTTTGGGTTGAAGCTCGCCGGTCGGTCGAGCATCTCCTCTCCACCCTCTCCTCGCTCTCTGGGCTACACCCTCCTCCCACAGAGACGCTCAACGCTCAGCCTGGACTGGGACACCCCTCCCGTGGAACATGGTTTGATCCAGAGCCCCTCGGCCTCGGTGCTCTCTCCTGCGGTGATGTCGGCCCTGGAGGGGGTGACCTACATTGCAGAGCATCTGAAAGCAGAAGACGCAGACTTTTCGGTAAGTGTGGCCCCTTTTGGTGATTTGTTCTCAATACTAGCATGTATTTTACAGATTTCTAGACATTTACAGCCTCCTCTTTGGTTTTATGTTCCTGCAGGTGAAGGAGGACTGGAAGTACGTCGCCATGGTTGTGGACCGGATCTTCCTGTGGATGTTCATCATAGTGTGTCTGCTGGGGACCATTGGACTCTTCCTGCCTCCGTGGCTCTCTGGGATGATTTAAAACCAAAATGGATATTACATTCATATGACTAAAAATCTATTTAATAAATAAAATAATCGGATAAGGTGGACAGGCATGTCCTGGAAGCATGGAATGAGAGACTTCTATCAAACAGTGAAACTTACTTTTTAGCTTCCCACAACAGAAAACAACATATTTGACATTTCCTTTAAAAAAGTATTCACCCCCTTTTGGAAGTCTTCCCCTTTTATTGCTTTGAATCATAATCATGTTATTTGGCTTTTATGAAAAGAAAATGCAAAAAAGGACTGTTTCATGTCAAAGTGAAAACAGATTTCTACAAAGTAAGACAAATAATTAAAAATATGAAAAGTAAACTACATGAACACATAAGTAGTCACCCCCTTTAAAGTAAGGCATGTGGGAGAATATGAAGTCAACCGAAAGAAGAATCTTTGGTCTGATGACATCAAAATGGAGCTTTTCTTGGCCGTGCAACAAGTAGATAGGTTTAGCAAACACCAAACACTGCACATCATCGCATACACACCATAAACACACCATGGTGAAGCACGGTGGTGGCATCACGATGCAAGCATGGTGGTGGCATCATCATGATGTGAAGCACGGTGGTGGCAGCATCATGATGAAGCACGGTGGTGGCAGCATCATGATGAAGCACGGTGGTGGCATCATCATGATGTGAAGCACGGTGGTGGCAGCATCATGATATTTGGAAGCTTCTCGGCAGCAGACCCTGGAAGATCTTGTAAAGATGGAGGTTAAAATAAATGAGCATCATTCAAAGTTGAAAAGCAATAAAAGGAAATAACTTCCAAGGCGGTTGATACTTTTTATAGGCAGCGTGCATAGAAGAGTACAAAAACGGCTTAAATTAATAATCAATCATGTCATTTCTGTCACATCTTTAATTTTTTTATTTAGTAAATGCACAATAAAAATTCAAAAATATACTCAATTTAAAAAAAGGGGAGAAAATAGTAAAACAATCACTTTTAAGAAGTTGGTATTTTTGCTCAATAAACAACTCAAATAATTAATTTAGAATTGTTGCTGATTAAATTCACTAATTGACTAATTGTTTTAACTCTTGTGCTGAATTCAGGGTTCAAAATGCACAAAAAAAAAACAATTATCGCTGATTTAAAAGTTTGATATTTTTAAATAAATCTTAATTTGTGTGATTTGGAATCTTCCAGTTTTCTTTTTTTTGTTGGTTTCCGATGAATATGTGAGTTTTTACTTGAAATAAAGAGAAAGAGAATTTGTCCCTCGTGGCATCGGTTTGCTTACTGGTGATGTCTAAAAAAAAAAAAGCCCAGCAGTGGATACTCACAGAGGGGAAAAGACGGAAGCTTAAAGACTGACAGCAGCAGAGAAGAGAGAAAAATATCTGATGTAACATTTGCTACTAAGACGAGGTGAGAGGATTCTAACAGTGACGAGAAAACAGCACATTTATGTCATATGAGGGATCAAAATCTAAATTCTGTACTGAAGCAGAGAAGAACTAAAGTGAAATGTGATGTGCATGAGAGAGAAGAAACTGTTCCTTAATATGTGAGTATTAAGGCTAATTAAGCTGAATGAAAGTGGCTGTCAATCAATAGCTTCTCTCCAGCTATCCTGTCTTCTTCATTAAAAATAATTAATTTGATGTATTGAGGTCAAAAATAGAGCACTGCGCAATCTCACATCTTAAGCACAAGGTAACTGGACTTCTTCTGTGGTTCCTGATCCAAGAAGGTTCCTCAGTTCTAACCGACCAGTGGAGTCCGAAGTATTTATCATCATCCCAGAAATACATGACTCATGAGTTAATGTTGGTGGAGCTACGTCTGGAAAGATGCCTCAAGGGGTAAATGGTGGTGAAACTGCCTGAGGAGGGATGGTGCAAGTTGTTAATTATGGTTAAACTGCCTGGGGAAGGAAGACTTGATGTGTTAGTGTTGGTTTGAGAATTCAAAAATTGAAGGTGTTATTGGTAGAACTGCCTGATGGAGGGGGAGTCAAGCTGTCAGTGGTGAGGAAATTGTGTCGGAAGGTTTGATTCAATGTGGTAACGGTGGAGAAAACATCCCGGAACGGAGTAAATCAAGATGTTAATGATGGGGATATTGTCTAGGGAGGGAGCTAAGGTGTTATGGGTGGAGAAACTGCCCGGAAAGGGTTAATCAAGGTGTCAGATACAGTAAAACTGTCTGGGGAGGGGTGAGTTGAGTTGGTAATGGTGGTAAAAGTACCCGATGGGGGATGACTCTTGGTGGTAATAGTGGTGAAACTGCATGGGGACGGTTGACTGAAGGTGTTAATGGGGGTATAACTACTTCAGGATGTGTGATTCGAGGCATTAATGATGGTAAAATTGTCTTAGGAGGGACGACTCCATGTGTTAATGGTGGTGAAACTGCCTGAGGGATGGTGCAAGTTGTTAATCCTGATGAAACCATCTGGGGAAGGATGACTCAAGCTGTCAGCGGTGGGGAAATAGCCTTGGAAGGGTTAATTTAATGTGGTAATGGTGGAGAAACTGCCTGGAGAGAGGTGAGTCAAGGTGTTAATGATGCTGACACTGCCCAGAAAGGGGAGAATGAAGGCGTCAATCATAGTAAACCTGCCTGGGGAGGAGTGAGTTGGGTTGGTGATGGTGGTAAAAGTACCTGGTAAGGGATGACTCTTGGTATTTATGGGAATGAAGCTGCTCTGGTAGTGGTAAATCAAGGTGTTAATGGTAGTGAAACTACTTCAGGATGTGTGATTCAAGGCGTTAATGATGGTAAATTTGTCTTAGGAGGGACGACTCAGTGTGTTCATGGTGGTGAAACTGCCTGAGGGATGGTGCAAGTTGTTAATCCTGATGAAACCATCTGGGGAAGGATGACTCAAGCTGTCAGCGGTGGGGAAATAGCCTTGGAAGGGTTAATTTAATGTGGTAATGGTGGAGAAACTGCCTGGAGAGAGGTGAGTCAAGGTGTTAATGATGCTGACATTGTCTAGGGAGGGAGCTAAGGTGTTGCTGGTGGAGATACTGCCCAGAAAAGGGTGAATCAAGCTGTCAGTGGCAATAAAACTGCCTGGGGATGGTGAGTTGAGTTGATAATGGTGGCAAAAGTACCTGATGAGGGATGACTCATGGTGTTAATGGTGGTGAAGCTGCTCTGGGTGTGGTAAATCCAGGTTTTAAGGTGGTGAAACTGTCTTCGGAGGAATAACTCAGGGTGTTAATGATGGTAAACTGTCTGAGGATGGATGGCTTAAGGCGTGAACATTGGAGGAACTGAGTGGTGAGGGGGTGAATCAAGCTGTCAGCGATGGTGAAACTATCTGGAATACGGTGAATTAAGGTGTGAGTGGTGGTGAGACTGCCTGAGGAAAGAAGACTGAAGGTGTTAATGGGAGATGGTGCCAAGTATTAATGATGATAAAACTGCTAAGGGAGGGATGTCTCGCAGCATTAATGATGGTAAAACTGTCTGTGGATGGACGATGTAAGGCGTGAACAGAAGTGAAACTGCATGAGGAGGGATGATTTAAGGGCTTAGTGTTGATAAAGCAGCCTGGGGAGGGATGGCTCAGGGTGTTAGTGGTGAAAGTGTCTTTGGATGGGAGGTTAGTGGTGGTGATATTATCTTAGGAGTGGTGACTCAGAGTGATGGTGAAACTGGCTGGGGAGAGCAATGTTATTAATTTTGTTATAGAAATTAAATTCTGCACTAGAATCTGCCAACAGATGGTTCGACTATCCACAGTATCCGACTGTTTCTTGAAATTCACGTCGCTGCTCAGGTTTGAAAAATGACTTTTTCATGGAGGCAGAAGTCTAAGAGACCAACATCTTAAATCCCAGACACAATAAACCATTTACTATCAAATGAAAGCATCTTGAATGTTTTGATGAACTGACCCTTTAAACTGTCTTTAAGCGATGCGTGTTCTGACCAGCAGGGTGCAGCAGCTTCACACATATTCAGAGGATTCAGAGGATCATCACAGGGATCCTCTGGGTTAACTCATGTGTTTGTTCTTGTATTTGTCTTTTTTGGATACGACTTTCTGATGAGGTACCATTTAGAAAGTGCTCATAAACTGCAAAAATGCAGAAAAAAAGAAGTGTTTTAATGACAAATGTGTTCCTAACTTGCGGTTAGAATGACAGTTTGATGCACTAGCGGAACAAATCAGAGCCGGGCCGGGGGCGGGGCAAAAGACCGGGCCCTTTAACCCCAAATAATAAAGCTCATGATAGCATCATTTTACAACATACACATGCCCGCAACAGCAGCGCTTACAAGCTTCTGCACCACGGAGATGTCATTCTGAAGTCCATCAAACGGACATGAAGGATAACCAAGAGAACAACAACATGAGGCTACATGCTCACTGATAATAAAACAAATTCAGAGCAGTTCAGCACCACGGATAGCGGTTATTCTACAAGTTAAGCGGCTGGGCTGCTACGATTTACAACCACCAACAGTTTACAGCTAACTCACACATTGTGTGTAGTCATTGTAGTCCTCGCTGTGCTGGCAGTTCTGGCGGGCCTGAATCGCTGCCAACAAAAAAGTCTGGTTCATGTCCAGGACGATGAACAAAATATGTGTCCAGTTTCTGTAATCTGGCTTTTCCTGCTCTCTCTGTTCCCTTTCTTTTCACTTTGCTGCTCCACTTTTATGCTGATATGAAGCTCCACTCATGTTCACTTTGTCCGTAAAAATGCTCGACCGAGTTCGCAACCTGTTGACAAGCGACTGATGATGACGTTGGTGGACGACTGGTGACGAGTTTTACCCAGAATACACTTGGAGACAATATCAGCGATCAACTTGTAAATTTGCGCATCATAAAGTTTAATGTGAGCTAAAATAAAGCAATTCATGCAGTACAACATTTTATTCAATATTTTACACCTAGATCACTAAAGTCAGTCGGTCTTGTAAAATTTTTAGCAACCAATCCAGCCCCCCCTGAAGCTCCGCCCCTGGTTTGATGCATCAGTGTCTGCTTGGATGGGATGT